ACCAGGAACAAGGCAACCAGAGAGCACTCCTACTCCACCGTTGTTCAAATTAGGAAATCCTAAACCTTTCTCTCTGCCCTGCCTTGCCTTTGGCTTAGAAGCCAACAAAGGCTCTGGCCTAAGGCTTTCCCCTCTATCTTGTCTTCTGACTCTGACACCCCCCCACCCCCCCACAGTGTTTTTTCCATTTGGCTGTGTGTTTTGAGCCAGGCCTGCCTTAATACACCTGTGAATATATTACACATTGTTTTCTTGAGCCTGTTCCCTGTCTCCTCCTGTGGCTACATTTGATTAACTGTCTTATAAGAGAATACAAAAAAGGATGGTAGGAATAGCATTAAGTGGATTACTATGTACTTACACAGGACCTGGCACAAGGCATGTCCTCAAATGTCAACTGCTATCCCCAGTGATGGGTGGTAAACTCTTTATACCCATAGCCTGAACACTATAGTTTCTGGAACCAGGTAGAAACAGATGGTTATTTTGGGGAAACAGATTGGCCATTGAGAGATAAAAACACTGAAAAATATGACTTCTAGTCATGTTTTAGTGATATCTAACCAGATAACCAGGAAACAAAAGTATAACTTTTGTAGACCACTGAGTACTTTACTCATTTTATTTTCATAAAGACACACTGATGAATAGTTGTTCATCAACAATTTTTTGGGGAGGGATATCGATGTGTGATACACAGAACACAAGGAGTATGTTAGTACTACCAAATTCTGGTACTTGCAGGGAATGATAATTAGCAAACTGAGAAATACAGAAGAGATGAGAAACAATCAAGCCTTGTAAATTTTTCCCCTTCACAAACTGGTATAAAAATACTGAAAGTGAAAATATTACCAAAAATATATTTAGTGCTGTTAGGTTGGCCAAGGAGAATGGAACACCTCATGCTAGACAGAGAAGGTGTCTCTGTCTTTGTTTCCACATTGTCCTGCTAGATAATCCAGTAGTTTATGGGAGGGTAGGAAAAAATGCAAAGGGAAAAGGAAGGAGAGGAATTAGACAGCAGGAGGCTCAGGCATTGCTAATGTTTGAGTGAGTTAAATTGTTTTCTCTACCAAAGGCATATAGTTTAGTGTTATTTTGTTCTAAGACTCTGAGGCTCAGGCACAGTCTGAGTCTGCTTTAGAGTCAAAGAGCCATTTAAAAAGCAGTCACTGAAGGGCTGGGGCTGGGCTCAGTGGTGCAGCGCCTGCCTCACATGTGTGAGGTGCTGGTTTCAATCCTCAGCACCACATGAAAATAAATAAATGAAGATATTGAAAAAAACTAGACAATTAAAAAAACAAACAAACAAAAAGCAGTCAGAGGAAGGAAACACTTCAGGGACATGCTCCTGCCAGAGGTAGGTGAACTTAGAGGGGTAGGGAGAAAGAACCCCATTGTAAAATCAGTCAGGGGAGATGAGGAAGACCTGAGAGAGGAGGATTAGAGGAATTTGAGAAGGGAAATTTGCTAACAAGTCTTCCCCCAAAGAGCAAGCAGTTTTATGGCTGTTCATGGGAGCCCATAAACATGAAGAATAAACAAGTCTAGATATGACTCCCCTTCTCAAGTCTTTCTGATGGAATTGCCCACTGGGCAGCTTCGAAGGAAGAGAGGAAAGTTCTCATAGGGGAGGTGAGTCCTGGGTCTGCTTCTCTTGAGATGGCATGGTCACATGTGTCCTGGGAACTGTCTTTGTGTACTAGGTGGAGAGGTAAAAGAAGGTGGGCTGGCAGCTGCTGAAGATGGCACATTACTAGCTAGAGACCTCTAAACTCTCAGGGTCTCAATAATGGTCCTTTACTTCCTGCCACAGTCAGGGTATCTATGTGGCCAATTGACTAGAAAAGCAAGGATGGGGTGAACAGCTTTTCCTAGCACTCCCTGCATGTGTTGGGTATAATCTGGCTCAGAAAGGGGCAGAGAAAAGTTCTTCTGAGTAACTGCTAAAATCTTGCATGCCATGCAGGTCAGCTGGCAGAAGAGCTCATGCTGAGGAACTCTGGGTTCTTAAAAATGCACGGTTATGGACTGAGTCAAAGGTAATGCTGGGGCAGATTAGAATGCCTAGGTGGATAGCCATACTACCCCAAATTAGAAAAGTAGAGAATAGTGCTCAGGCAAGGGTGATTCCCTTAGTCAAGAAGCTCATACAATAAACTGTTAATCATACGGAATATAATAAAGCCACTACCAGGCAAGCACTATTAACCATAAATATATTCAAGTTGGCTCAGGAATATCAAACAGGCCACTTAGTTACTTTGTGGTTCCTCAAATATGGATGAATGAATGAACAGGCATCTCAGAGGTCTGATTTCAAGAAGACTCATACCAGAAGGAGGTGTACTCTGGGAAAGCAGACTGTAATCTCAGTGGAGGGCCTTCAGACTGCAGCCATTTTGATAGAATACATCTCCTGGATCTGTCACCAAGATGCAGGAGGCTCTTAACCTGGCAGCAGGCCTTGGCCCAAATACAGGCCTATGCCAAGTGGCAGTGATTCCCCTGCTTCCAACAAACAAAATGTACAGTGAATCCAGCTTAGCAATGCATTTCCCAGGGATTCAAGGCAAAGGCAGGGGAGGAGGTGGTAGTGACAGGACCAGGCAGGTCATGGAGATAATGGTACTAAAACATGGTTTTCTAGGCTTATTGTACAATCTGGAGGTGCCAGTCATGCAAGGCTACAAACGAATGTGTGTGTACCCAACATAACCCACACCAAGTAACCTCTTGAAATGCTGCTTCACATGCATGGGGACAAAGCATGAGGTGCTAGTCACCTAACAGGAGATGCCTGTGGTGAGCCGCTTCTGCCGTTTCTGCAGACTATGGTCGCCATTACGAGATGGCGCTGGCTCCGCTGTGGTATGTGACAAACAACTCCTTATCTGAGAGAGTTGGCACATGATTTTTTACCACCCTGTGAGAAAGCTCCACGCGGCGGCTTTGCATTGGGGCTTGGGATGCTTTATTAAGGCTGGGAGGGCATCCGGGAAGAAGAAGAGGAGAAGAAGAAAGAATAAGAAATATCAAGGGACCTGAATAAACTGCTGAGAGAAGATTCCCGAGTGTTGCATCTTCCTTGCGGGCAAGGGGTCGCGACAGATGCCTATCAAAACACAGGTGGCTCTTTATTAGCCAGGAGCTGAATTTAGAGAAATTGGGCTTGGAAGCTGAGAGAAGCTTCTGAGTTTGTGTCAGCCTAGAGTCTGACATGATACTGAATATCCTCTTCTTTAATCTGAAGCAGAGGTGCAAAATTTAGAGGGGGCCAGAAGGTTGCCCAGATCGACAGACAACACTTCACAAACCAGGAATCTGTCCCTTTGCTTGCCAGAATTTGTTCTGTCTTCATTGTGGAGCATGTCCCAGGGTGCAGTAATACAGGTTCCTCCATTCCTTGTGGTGGAGAAGGGGAGAGTGCTCTCATAAGCTATGCATGTGAAAGTGCACAGATTTTTATCAAAAGCACTAAGGATTTAAGATGGTGAAAGAACTGTACCTGCAGGATTAGTGTGTCACTCACAATTTTGGACATGGCCACAGCCTTGGTTAGAGAATGTCAATGGTGCTGTGGACTACTTCTGGACCCATGTTATTAATCAATATATCGTTCACCACTATCAAAATGGCACCATCTTCAAAGGGGTAAAGTGCCCAGATGAAGGAAAAGAAATGCTACTTTCAAATACAAAAACAGAAATTCAAGGCTGCCTGCTTTCCTATGGACATGGAATCATTACCTTTGGAAACATAAATAAACCTGGCCAAGGACAAGGATACAGCAGTTCAGTTATTTTGGGAGTAGTTAATAGGCTCTAATGTAGTGTGGACACAGAGACTCCAGTCAAGGGAAAGAGAACTAGAGCATTTTCATAACTGGCTCTCATTTCTTATGTCAATTGCACAGTGGGAAATGGCAAGTCACAGTAGAGGTGGCTGGGAATCCCCACCAACCACTAGGTGGTTGGGATTATCATACTGGAAGCCCAGCAGACTTCTGACTGCTGTGTGTGGAACACAGCTGGAGGACAAAGGCTGCACAAGTAAATCCTCTTTTAATGGAGAGGGTTAGTGTCAAGTTGAGATCTGGAGGAAGAATTGTGGAACTCAAGAATTTTGATCAAACTTTGTCCCCTTGACTGAAATCCCGAGTTCTGAAAGTTGGATTTGGGTACACTACCCAGAATCATGGATATGGATTCTATTACTGATTCACAGTTGATTCTGTGATTCCAATCAACTAATTCAGTTGATTCTGACTCATACTGTGTAAGAGCTCAGATCATCTAGTTCCCAAGGGTGGTAGTAAGAAGTGACATGATTCCTTACCAGTTAGGAGTTAAGTTAGAAGAGGGTCATACCTTTCAGTTGAATTGGCTCAGGAGAATGCCAGTAAGAAGCTCATGGACAGATAGATCTGGGAAATCTGGCAAAAGATGATGTGAAGTTGAAGGTGGGAAGCATAATTTAAATGATTTCCAGGCTGGTGAATGGATGACTTCACTTTATTTATACTGGCTGTCAGGAGTATGGGCAAGGAGAGAAAAAAAGAGCTCCATTAGAGGTGGCAACTCTCTTATACAGAATACTCCAGTAGAATGAAATGCTTATGGGTCACTTTCTTACTATTTTGTTCTTTTAATTCTGGACCTTAATTTTTATAACTCCATAATCTTTTAACAAACTATAAATTTGATAATCTATTTTTATGTTGTTAACAAATCTCTATTTTGGTTCTGGTTCTTGATAATTCAGGTTAGTAAAAAATACTTCTATTGCTAGGCTTGGTGGCCCATGCCTGTGATCCCAGTAGCTCAGGAGGCTGAGGAAGGAGAATAGCGAGTTCAAAGACAAACTCAGTAAAAGCCAGATAATAAGCAACCCAGTGAGACCCTGTCTCTAAATAAAATACAAAATAGGGCTGGGATGTGGCTCAGCGGTCAAGTGTCCCTGAGTTCAATCCCCAGTACCAAAAACAACAACAACAAAAAAAAACCCCAAACTGCTATTAATTTGAGGCCAGTACTAAAGAGTGGAAGGGTGTTTGCAATATTATAGTCTCAAAACCCATGATATTGTGACGCTTGACTCTCGAGAAATACAATGACTATCCTGATTTAAGTTTTCATACTTATTCTCTAGAATGGATTATCTTATATTCAATAGTTAATTTACTGAGTCTCAAAACTCTTCCATATAAACTTAATTCATGTCACTTATCTCCAATATGATGTCTCTGATGTTGAATGAGATTTGCTGTTTGGTTGAAAGCCTTCCCACATTTATTACATTTGTAGGGTTTCTCTCCTGTGTGAATCCTCTGATGTTGAGTAAGGTGAGTGCTTCGGATAAAGGCCTTCCCACAGACTTTACATTTGTAAGGTTTTTCTCTTGTGTGAATTCTCTTATGTTGGGTAAGAGCAGAGTGGTCACTGAAGGCTTTCTCACATATGTTACACATGTAAGGTTTTTCCCCGGTGTGAATTCTCTGATGTTGGGCTAAGGCTGACTGGTCCCTGAAGGCTTTCTCACACAAGCCACATCTGTAAGGTTTCTCTCCAGTATGAATTTTCCGATGTCGTGCAAAAGACGAATTATCTCTGAAAGCTTTCCCACATTCACTACATTTATAAGGTTTCTCTCCAGTGTGAATTCTTTGATGTTCTGTAAGGGAAGAATTCACCCTAAAGGCCTTTCCACATTCATTACATTCAAAGGGTTTCTCTCCAGTGTGAATTCTCTGATGCTGAAGAAAACTTGTACTCTGATTGAAGGCTTTCCCACATTCCTTACACTTATAGGGTTTCTCACCACTATGAATATTCTGGTGTTTGGTAAGATGTGCCCTGCACACAAAGGCTTTTTCACAAATGTCACATTTGAAAGGTTTCTCTCCAGTATGTATTCTGTGATGGTGGGAAAGATGTATGTTTCGGATAAAAGCTTTTCCACATAAATTGCATTCAAAAGGTTTCTCTCCAGTATGGATTTTCTGATGGTAAGTAAGTGAGGAGCTCACTGAGAAGGCCTTGCCACATTCTTTACATTCATATGGTTTCTCACCAGTGTGAATTCTTTGGTGATGGATGAGGTGTGTACTCTGGTGAAAGGCTTTCCCACATTCTCTGCATTCATATCTTTTCTCTTTAATATGCATTTTCTGACTTGTGTTGAGCTTTTCACTATGAAGTTTCTGATGCTTGTTAAGGGTAGAACTCTTAGAGAAGACTTTCCCACACTTACTACATTCAAAGACTTTTTTACTTGGCTGAAATTCCTGGTCTTGAACAAGAGAGGAGCTCAGGGTGCTGCCCTTCCCAGATTCACTGCATTCCTGTTCACTAAACCCAGATGGGGAGTTCTGTTGAGTGAGGACCACTTGCTGCAAGCTGATCTCCTGACCTTCCTGACACTGCCATTCCAACAGGTTAGCATATTTCCAGTGACTTTCTCTGGTGAATCTTTCCTTTATTGTCCACTGACCTAATTCTTCTTTAGAAATATCTGCCTTGAGAGTAGTTTTCTTACTCATAGGCATTGTCATCCAGTCTGAAAGACATTAAAAACAAAAATGTCTGTTTTACCTGAGTTCCTCAAGATGGCATGGGATTATGAACCTGTTAATAATGCTTAACAAGGAGGATGTGGTGAAGCTTTTTTGAGAAATGACAATAAGAAAGGAAAGAGAAAGAGAAGTGAACACAGGACTGTGGTGGGGTTCATCAATACTTCATGTCTAAGGCAAGGGAGCTTGGGCTTCTTCCTGATCTCGGAGGTCATGGGCCTGGGGCAGAATCCAGAGTACCAATAATTATTTTCTTTGTGATCAGAGAAAAATTACCTGACTATAATATAGACCAGAATATTCTAACATATAAGAAAAAAAGAGTATCTTCTCTATTTTAGTACTATGGTCTTTAAGACAAAGATTTGGCCTAAGGAAACCACTGAAACTAGACAAAACTAGGAAAAAACATCAAGAACAATTCTAATACTCTCACATTTTACAGACTTATTACAGTACGTAGATGGACAATAAAAAGCTAAGCTGCCCTTCAGTTTTTTTGTGTGTGAAACATTTATATCTACTAATAAAATAAGGACCTACTACTGCTTGTGAGGAAGCAATGTCTTCTAACCTATATGATAATGTGATATCAAATGAGGAAAATCTACCATGGTGATGTTTAAGAACAGAAAATTAAGAACAAAGCAGGATATCTGCAAGGCTATAGCCAGTATGTCTCGGAAGGAAAGTCTGTAAATCTGGGTTAAGAAATATTCATTAGAAAAAGGACTCTATTACAAAACAGTCCCATGAATTGTCTAACAAAATAACTCTTTTCCTCTGACACACTGCCCGCTGCCTCCCCCCCCACCAAAAAAAAAAAAAAAAAAGAAAAATTCTCATGTAACAACCTTCTTACACTTGGTTTCCTGGGTATCTTGTTATTGACAAGAGTTCTGGATTGTGTGCTATTTTTCCTTACATTTGTGAATGGCCACCTTTTAACTTAAGTCTGTTTAAGACTTTGTACTAAGAAACATAATGCTAAGGAGAAGACACTAATTTTTCCAGGATAAAAGAAGAAAGTAAAAAAAAGATACTAATATGGATGATGCAAACAATCCTGAGAAATTCTATCCAGAACAAGCCTTTCTCATCTCCTCCTTTTCCAACTCCAGGAAATTTTACAAAGAAATACAATAATAATAGTAATTTTAAAAACCTTTAATTATCTGAAAAAGAAAGATGAACAGTCAGATAACAATGGTATCTGCAGGGAATTGATTCTAGGATTCCCCACAGATACCCATCCTTACAGATACCACAGAATGACTATATTGTCATTTAACTTTAATCATTCTTATTGTGAGCAAGCATATATTACTCTGAGTGGGAAATTTTAGCCTTATAATATATGTGTTTATCTTTCTAAAGGCCTACCAGAGAAGAAATTCTTTGAGGAAAAAAAACTACTAGGTATTGGGAATCACCTTCCTGTATTTTTCTTCTCTCCCACATCTTAATGCTTTGGGTGATATGCCTTCAGACAGATTTTTTTTTAATTCATATTTTCTAGTTGTCTTTTGCAGAAATTTGGTCTGCACAAGCTACTCTGTATTGGCCAGATGTGAAAATCCTTAATATTTTGAAGTTTGGCAATATAGTCAAGACTCCTCTGCATTTGCAGGTTACACATCTGTGGATTCAATGAACCATGGATTGTATACTATATAGTTAAGCTTATAAAAATGATTGCTTCTGTACTGAATATGTATAGATTTTTTCTTGCATTATTCCCTAAACAACAGAGTAAAACAACCATTTACACTGTATTAGGTAGTATAAGTAATCCAGAGATGATTTAAAGTTTATAAGAGGTTGCACATTTTATATAACCTATACACATTTTATCTAAGCAACTGAACCAAGAATTTGATTAATCCTTAAGCTTTCCAGGGTAAAAGAAGAAAGTTTAGTAGAAATTCAGAATTTTCTATAGTCTTTTGATATTGTGGATCCCAAAACTATAGTTTGGGACCATCCAAAGAGAAAAGTTTGTAGTAAACATGTGAATCCCTTCTAGAAGTAAGGAAAAACAAGAGACTGAAAAAGCTCTGTAAACACTGGAACTCAATCTCTAGCTATTATAGTGCTTGGCTAGATTAAAATGGTTTGTTTATACTCCAAAGCTGTACCAGAGGAAAAGGCAAATCTTCTTGGGAAGAAACAATATGCAGAGTTCCTATGTTCCTTCTCATCTAATGTCAGAGATTCAATTTAAAAACATTGAATGAGGATACAACAACAGATAAAAGAAAAAGAGATCGAATACCAGAGTTATCAGATATGCAGTTAAAAGTAACTGTGATTGATACATTTGAGAAAACATGTAAGATTAAAAACAAGTAAGATTAAAACAATTGGAACAAAAGAATCAACTGAAAATCCTAGAACTTATAAAGAATTGAAATTATGAACTCAATAGCTAGATTTAACATAAGCAGAAAATATCCATGTGCTAGGGTTTGAATATGTCCCCTAAAGCTCAAGTGTTAGAGATTTAACTCCCAAATTCATACATTGATGATATCTAGAGGTAGGCCTTTGAGAGAGAGGATCAGATGAGGTCATGATGGTGGCCACGCCCCTATGGAAGCAGTAGTTATTTTTATAAGAAATGGAGGAGAGACCTGGGCTAGCAGGCCTTGCTCTGTCTGCCTATATCAAGCCCTTCATGGAGTTATGATGCAGCATGAGACCCTTGTCAGATGCTCAGCAGATACCAGTACCCTGCTCTCAGACTTCCCAGCCTCCAGAACCATGAGCCAAATAAACCTTTATTCTTCATCAGCTACCCAATTGAAAACAGACTACAATACCATGGTAAAAGATGCAGAGAGACAGATGAGACAGTGTCAAATGAGTGAATATATATATGACTGGAATTGTGTAATGAGAGGAGATAAAGAATGTAGCAAAATGTTATTTGGAAAAAAAAAAGCTGCAAAATGAAATTTGAGTATTCTATTGTGGTAACACAAACCAGACATACTAATATAGCCTCTAAATTAAGTAATACATTTCTAAACAACTGATACATCAAAAAAGAAATCATGATAAAAATTAGAAAACAACTGAACTTAATGATGATACAAATAAGAATTGGAACTTATAAGACACAGCTGAAGTCACATGTGGTAGGAAATATACATACACTGACTGTCAATCTCAAAAACATTTAGGAAAACAACAAATTAAACCTAACAAAGATGAAAAGAAATAAAGAAAACAAATTAATTAAAAACTTGATTGACCTCTATTAAGACAAATGAAGATAAGACATATTACCAATATTAAGAATATTAAGGTGACATTGGGACAGATTCCACAGATATTTACAAGAGAATAAGAACACAATGCAAAAACTTCATGGTAATACATTTGATGACTTAGATAAAAGATTCAAACTCCTAGAAAAACATAATGTAATAAAACAGGTACAAAAAGAAAAAAAATCTAAAGATATTATATCTAATAAATACATAGGATCTTCATTTTAAAACTTCTTCATCAAGCAATTTCTAGGCAGAGATATTCACTAGTGAATTCTTCCAAATTTAATGAATGAAGAAATAACATCAGTTTTATATTTTCAATTGGTTTTATGAAACTGACACACACCAGATCTGATGAGGATATTATAAATGATAAATTCACAGAGTATTCTCTTTTATTAACATAGATGCAAAATTCCTAAATAAAATATTAGCAAAAGAAATATGGTGATATAAAAAGATAATATGTCACAAATAAACTGAAATTCAAGGTTGTTTTTGTATTGAATCACTCTTGTCATTCACATTAACAGAATAAAGCAGAAAAACCATACCATTATTTTAATAGATGCTGAAAAGACCTTTGACTCAATTCAATACCCAGTCATGATAAAAACTCATGGTAGTAGAACAGTAGTAGAACTCTTAATTTGATTGAGTTCTTATAAAAACTATATTAAACAACAGTTAATCATAAAATATTAAAAATATTCCCAAGACTGAGATAAAGTAAACATTTCTGTTTTCATTACTTCACTCAACATTGTACTAAAGTCTAACAAGTTCAAGGTTAAAAAGGAAAAAAAGAAGAAAAGATTAGAAAGGAAGGAATAAAAATGTTATTTATCTGATGACATGACTGTGTTCATATAAAAACACAATATGGAATATTTCATGCACAATCTATTAGAATTAACAGGGAATACAAAAACTAATAGTGTACCTACACACCAGCTACAAATAATTGGAAAATGAAACTTTCAAAAGATATTAATAAATCCATCAAAACAACAAACACTTCTTATCAAAATCTTAGCAGGAATTTTTTAGACGATGAATAGCCAAATCTAAAATTCTAAGAGAAAAAAAAAAAAAGAACAAAACTGGAAAACTGACATTAGCAAGTATGACTCATTATAATGCTATAGTAACTAAAACAGTGTTCACTGGCACAAGAGTAGACAGAAGAAATGAAACAGGACAGACTAGAAATAAACTTGTACACAAACAGACCAAAGGGACAGATTATAGAACCCATGCTTGCAGCTGCACAAACATGACATGTACTTGCAGTCAACTTATGTCTGACAGAAATGACAATACAGAATAATGGGGAAAAAAAGTCCTTTTCAGTAAATGATTCTGGGTCAACTGGATGCCTATCTAGAAAACAGTGAAAAATAAGTCTTTCATGTGAATTGTAGACCCAAATATGAAAGAAAAAATAATACAGCTGCTATAACACGTGTTTTCATGGCTATAAGAGGTCTTAAGTAGGATATAAGGATTAACCATAGGAAGAAAAAGAATCCTAATAAATTAAACTATCTTAAAAATTCAAAACTTCTATTTATCATATGATGCCACTATTCACAGTGAGAAACAATATTTTTAATATATATATATATGACAGAAGACTCAAAACCTGAATGTACAACCCTATAAATCAATAAGAAAAAAATTAACCAGTCAGCTAAAATAGAAAA